TCTTGGTGTATGATCTTTTTAATATATCGCTGGATCTGGTTTGCTAATATTTTAGCATCTATGTTTATCAAGGATGTTGACCTATAAGTTTTTCTTGTAGTGTTTTATCTGATTTTGAAATTTGGATAATGCTGGTCTCATTAAATGAACTTTTTTGGAGTAGTTTGAGAAGCATCGGTGTTAAATTTCCATGTGCAGCCATCCAGCCAGCCCAGCACTTTTGTTTTTTGGGGGTGGTCTTTCATTTAGTATTATTCAGTATACCTTACATTTATTAGTAGAAGGCATTACAACTTAATTTCCAAGACTGAGGATCTGGTAGTGAACTCTGGTGGTTGTCATGTTCTGAATAAGGACACAAATGCCATAAATATTGCTGCTAACAGAATGAAAATGATTGTTTCACTTTTTGAAAAGCTGGTTGCGTTTTCCCAGCCTTGCTTGATCACTTAGAATTGTCTACACTTTTCACTTGCCCTCTCTTTTGCAACCCTCCCTTTTCTAAATGGGAGTGCAGTCAATTTGATTAATTCCCCTTCCTTGCTTAGTCATGTGTGTTTTGCTACATTTTTTGGCCAGTTTTCCCGGAGTATACTTTCCTTGGGCTCCGTTTTACTCATACTGAGGGTTATATCTTTCTCACCCTTAAGATCCAGCTTCTGACATTTTAGAGGATGCCAAGTAGAAATTATTCTGCCTTTTAAATATTGAAGATCCTGTCAGGAAAAAATTATAGTATTTGTTTCTTGGAAACCTTTAAGACTTGCTTCTACTTACTACTTTTTTTTGCAAATACTACTTTCTCAAGATACTTTCTTTTTCTTTAAAGTAGTGAGCCTTTGCCCTGGCCGGTTTGGCTCAGCGGTTAAAGTGTCAGCCTGCATGGTCCAGAGAAACCCAGGTTCGGTTCCCACTTAGGGCACGTACCTCGGTTGCAGTTTGTCCCCGGCCCTGGTTGGGTCGTGCAGGTGGCAGCCACCCGATGTGTCCCTTTCATGTTGATGTTTCTCTCTCTCCCTCCTACTCTATCTGAACCATTAAAAAAAAAAAAAAGGAAAAATGTCCCTGGGTGAGGATTAAAAATAAATAAAGTAGTGAGCCTTTTTTGGTAATGTACAGAGAGCATATGTACAGGACCATGTGAATAGCTTTTGCTTCTATTACTTTGTTGGGCCAGACAGCATACATGAGACTCTCTCACCGGCATATGTATTATCTTCATTTGTGCGCTTGAGTAATCACTGGATTTAGTATTAAAATTCCGAGTTCAAGTTTTATGCATGGCTCTACTCCACAAATCACTTACTCGGTCTCTCAGCCTTAGACTCTCCATTATACTACCAATTTTTTAAAAACTTGTGTTCTTATCCTGGAATACATAAATTCACTGTGGGGTATGATGCAAAAAATCATGTGAGATTTCAAAGAATCTCTGTTGTACCACTTTTTTAGGTATGGCTCTAGAAGATTATAACTACCATCATCATTACTCTGACCCTGGAGAGGGTGTGCATAATCACTTTTTTTTTTTGCTTGTGTGTTACTTCAGTTTGGAAAGGACTATATGGAGAAATTAAATGACTCAAGTGAAATACCCCCAAAATGCTCTGGAGAATAATGATAATGTGCAGCTTTTATTATAGAAAGTTAGCTTTGCTTCACTAATTGTAGTCATGTTATTCAGGGGCACATATGCCTTCTTTAGTTCTTAAGACTTTTTTTTCCCTTTATTGATTTTAGAGAGGGAGAGGGAGAGAGATAAAAACATAGATGAGAGAGAACATCGATTGGCCACCTCCTGCATGCCCCCCGCTGGGGATTTGGCCCACAACCTGAGCATGTGCCCTGACTGGGAATCGAACTAGCGACCTCTTGGTGCATGGGTCGGCACTCAACCACTGAGCTACACCAGCCAGGTTTACGCACATTCTTAAGGCTGGAATCAAAGATCTATTGCCTCTATTATCATATAATGCTTTGTGTAAAATTTCCTTTACTTAGTTTTGGATTCTGTTTTAAAATGTCACTTTATTTTTTTACTAAAATATCTATCTTAATCTTGCTCCTCCTTTTTTTGTTATATTTATTGACTTGAGAGAGAAAGAAACACTGATTTGTTGTTCCACTTATTTATGCATTCATTAGTTGATTCTTGTATTTTCCCTGACCAGGGATCAAACCCACAACACTGACATATTGAGACAATGCTGTAACCAACTGAACTACCGGCCAGTCACTCCTTGTAAAGTTTCAGTTGTTAGTTTTGCTAGATCTGTTTCATAGAATGTGGAATCTGGTCTCTGTTCAGAAAGTTCCTGTTTCCGAAAATGACTTCCCTCCAAACAGCTGATTTCGTTTTCTTGACTCTAAATTGTTAGGTGTCTTAATGTGTATGGATTTTGATTATTATATTATGACCTCTAAAAACACATATACTAGAGCTAAAAACTCTCTAATGAATATCTGTCGGGCTAGTGGAAGACATACCATTTCTTCAGAAATGAGAACTTAATTGGGTGCTTGTCAATTTTTGAATTTTTATAACACTAAAATGAAGTGAATTTCTAAATCTTAACCTTATGAGAGATTAGACCTCATTCCTAACATACCTTATGTTTATAGAGTACTCTACCTACCATGCCTTTTAACAAATCTGTAATGTACTTTCATTTCATAGAATGTTTTACTCAAGAATATATGCAAATAAATGTCAAGGCATCTAACCCAGGCTAGATGGATCATTCTGGGGTTCATTTCAGTCAGTAAGATTGGCCTTTTATTTTCATTATTGCTGACATATTTATGGAAATTTTTGTGACAATCTTTACTATTAATGTATAAATATGATATTCTAGTAGTCCATATTACGAGTTCTATTTCTTATTTGTATTCAGCTATAAACCTGGCTTAAAAAATTTTTATGAGTTTTATCTAAAAACTACAAATGTCTGCATAGTTCTAAGATTTCCTTTAAAATTTGGAGTATTCATTTTTCTTTGTACTTGTGTGTGATGGGATCCTCTGACCACCCCCAGGTTCAGTGATTGTCTAAGAGGATTTACAGGATCCAGTATATAGTTGTTATCACAGTTGTGATTTATTATCGTGAAAGGGTGTAAAGCATAATTAAAGGCAATGGGCATTTGGCGGGAAATCTAGAGGAAGTTAGATGCAAGCTTTCGAGAATCTTCTCCCAGTAGTTACACAGGACACACTTCATTCCTCCAGCCATGAATTGTGACACCACTTGCAAAATGCTATGTACCAGGGAACCTTATTAGAAATTTAGTACTCAAGGCTTTCATTGGATTTGACTTATTATGTAGGCACCTCTGCCTACCACGTACCAAAAGTCTGGATTCTTGATGGCAACGCCGGTGGTCAGCATAAATCGTATTGGCACAAGGAGCAATTCTTATAGGTATTGTTGTGGGAATGCTCCTGAAATCTAGCTTCCCTCCCACATGCCAGTTGAGGGCAAGCTGTGCAAGCATGCCTTTCTAAGGATAGCAGTCTTAAGCCTGCTATGTTAACTTTCCTGCCTAATGAGCTTATTAACCGATTTCTCCTTGATTTTTGTTAATTCATACAGTGTTTATTGAAGAATTTATAGTCTACTTTGTTAAAATAGTTTCGTGTTTTATATAAATACATACTGTACAGCAAGATAAAATTAAAAACAAGTAGATGAAGAATCACAAGCTGTGGGCTTGTTAGGAAATTGCTTTTGTACCACCTAAATTGTGCTCAGTACCTAGGTAAGACTCTTTTGTATTTTGTTATATCACTAGCTTTATTGGGTTTTGGAATCTGTTTTTAGCTGGCCCCTATCCAAGGTTAAATCTTGGCCATTTACCTTTTCTCTTGCCATACTCTTACTTCATTCTGAGCTCCTAGTGCTTGCTTATTTATATACAAAGCAGAGTAAGACTCCCCTGCTTTTCATTTCTAATGGAAGAGACTACCAGATCCACTTGAGAATTTCTAGTTCTCATTGATCTGTTGACCATTTCCACTTGATTATCTAAAACCTGTACTCATCTTCTGTCTGTCCCAGTTTACCTTTTTTATCTTTTTAGTTTGTTTCTTTTGATTGAAATATTTAAATGCATTCTTACCCATTTCTACTCATAACAACTGGTTCTTATTGCTATCTAATTTCTGGACCATTTAAGTTCTTCCCTCTTCCAGTTTTTGTTCTTTATACTGTAGCCCCGATACCATTGTCAGCTTAGTTTAAAAAAAAGAAGTTAAATTTTTACCTTAGTGCAGAAAAATAAATATGTGGAATGAATTGAAGTACTAACAATTAGACTTGTGGTGAACCTTTTTATATCATTAATCAGTGTTTTTGCAGGTCTGGAGTTTTATATCTTAGCTTTTCTTAAAACAAGAAAAAAGGTTCCATCCCTAATGATCTCTGGGTTGTGTAGATTATTCATAAAATTTGAGTCACATTTAAACTTTTTTTTAGGTAGAGTTGGTCCTGTTACTAGAAAACTTGATGACATTTTTATCATCTTGAAACCAAACACCTTCCATGAGACTTAACTTTTTGAAAACTTGATACTGTTTAGTTTGAAAATTGGTGGAACTAAGAAACTGAAAATAATTGCAAAAACATATTGGATAGTTGTGAATTTTAGGTCTATATTGTTGAATTGTTGTGCTTTTTTTCCTTTACATATGTTATGTTTCTGTCTTTCCCTAATAAAACTTTTATTTTTCAAAAACCCTAGAGGTTGCTAGAAATGATATAAATGAGGTTTTGCTCATCGAATTATAAATAACATTGTTCCATAGGGTATTACCCACTGTAGTATATGTACTCATTAATCCACAACTTTAGTAGGCTCACAAATACTTTATATATTAATAAAAAACATGAATATGTACGTTTTCCTCTTTATATAAATTGTTTTAGGGATATATGATATGATAGAAACCAATTTAAATATGAAATAAAACTTATAATTTACTTAACTTTTTATTTTTTTAAGGGACCAGTTACTCTCCACAAGAAAATTCACATAACCACAGTGGTCTTCATAGTTCAAATTCACATTCTTCTAATCCAAGCAATAATCCAAGCAAAACTTCAGATGCAGTAAGTATATAAACATGCCCATTTTTTAAAATTAATTGCAGAAATAAAATGAAACTCCTCAAACCAAGTCTTAAGTCTAATGGCTTGAATTTTTTTTTCTAAAATCTAAGTTAACCTTTTCTTAATGTATTTGAACTACTGAGATAACCTTATTATAACTGAGGATAGTCCAAGGACACTACTATCTTTATATTATTTCATCAGCATTCCTGTACAGAGCAAAATTTTCCATTATCTCAGGTATCTGAGATATAAAGAACCTTAGACTGTGAAACTTCTGTAGTTAAAGTGGTTTAACTTGGGCTGTTATTTTCATAATATATAAACTTCTTACATATTTATTGAGTATCTAGTGTGATTATACACTCTGTTAGACACTAGTGACATAAAGGTCCCTTTTCTCAGAGTTCTAATACATTTATTCAGAAAAAAAAAATTTTTTTTTTTTTATCCTCACCTGAGGACATTTTTTCATTTTTTGTTCAGCTAGAGTGGGAGGGAGAGAGACAGAGAGAGAGAAACATCGGCGTGAAAGGGACACATCGAGTGGTTGCCACCCGCACGACCTGACCAGGGCTGGGACAAACTGCACCTGAGGTACATGCCCTCAACGGGAACCAAATATGTGTCTCTCTGGACCGCAGGCCAACGCTCCAACCACTGAGCCAAACCGGCCAGGGCAAGACCCAAATTATAAAAGGTGTTAAGGAATTTCATTATAGAAGTGGAAACTAAAGACCATTACCAGAATGGATTTTATGTTACTTGTTTTCAGATCAGGGTTCCCCCTCACTGTAGATTTCAGCTATAGGTATATAATTAACCTCCAAGTAGTGGTCATTTACTTTATAATGTACCTACCGGTTATGACACATACATCGATTACAAACTGTAAATTTAATCTTAGAAGAAGGCATTTGAACATTTCTGAAGGTTTCTTAAAAACTGACTTTCTTTGTCTTAAAATCACTTCTATTGGAAGTTTTTGAGTAGTGAGTGAAACATAAAATTACCTTTCATTTAATACTTCTATAATGAAAGAGTAAGTGAATAGATGAACATTATTTTAACCTAGGTTAATGCAAAGAATAGCTCTTTTAAAAAATCTTTTTTTCGTCTTCGAGGTTTTCGCGTTTTAAATCTATCTAAAAATCGGTGACGATATTATTTAGATTATTACATAGACATTTGGTTGTATGGTGATTTACATTTATATTTATTAAGTTAACTTTAAATTACCTTATTTTTAGATTAAGATTCACTTGTAGTTCCTTGCTAATAAGTCCTATGATGAACATTTATTGTGTGTTTAACACAGAGCCTACCTAGCCCATGGTAAATATTTAGGAAAAATTTGTTGAATGCTTCCTCCTTTGTAATCTAAATTATGATAGGACTTACAGGTATTATGTAGACTGTTTTAGATGAGTTTTGTGTATTTGTGGTTTTTATAAAAAGAGGCCTCTTGATTTCTACATCTAAAAATATTTTTTAATTCCCATTTTAAAATTTTCCTTTTGAGTATCCTTCACCAATTTTGATTTGTTGGGAAATGTTTTAAATTCAATCCTGGAGGATTTTGCATTATCTTCCAACTTCTATTGTTTTCATTTAAGTATCTTCTGTATATTTTGGAGCTTAAAAAGTTTGAGGCTCTTGAGATCTATTCTTTGTAACTAATCTTGCTTAAAGATACTCAACTTAATTTTTAAAAAAATTTATAAGAGTACTCTTAGGTCTCCATGAAATTCTTTGTTACAGTGAATGTTATCTTTGATGTTGTTATTTTATGAACTATTCTTTATTAGCAGTTCCAGGATTGACTTTTCTTTTCCATAGTTTAACTTGGAGAAATAGTAGTGGGACATGTTTTAGAGTGAGTAGAAAGGGAGATACTTTCTTTTTTTTAAGAAAAGAAAAGCAGTATTCTTAGAGTACTAAAGGCATTTTGGATTGAAGAAGAGTAGATAGGTGGCTCAGTAACTGTTCAGTGCTAGTCTTTTAGAGCACTTTTAAACTTTTAGTCTCATGACCTCGACTTTCATGAACATTGAGAGCTTTTGTTTATGCTGACTCTATCATCAGTATTTACCATATTAAAAATTAAAAGTGATAAATTTGAAACATACCTAATGCATTTAAAATCAATTACAAACCCATTGTATGTTAACATATAATATATATATTTTAAATGTTTTTATTTTGAAAATTTTTTATTGTTGTTGTTAATCCTCACCTGAGGATATTTTTTCCATTGATTTTTAGAGAGAGTAGAGGTGGATGGGGGAGGGGAATATCAATGTGAGGATGTGAGAGAGACACATCCATTGGTTGCCTCCCACACACTGGGGCTGGGGATTAAAACTGCAACCCAGGTATGTGCCTCAACCAAGAATCAAACCCTCGACCCTTTGGTGAATAGGCTGACACTCAAAACACTGACCCACACAACCAGGGCTTTTTAAAGATTTAGAGAGAGGTAGGAAGGAAGGAGGGAGAGACAGACATTGATATGAGAGTGAAACATCAATCATATGCCTCCTGTGCACCCCCTACCAGAGATTGAGCCCACAACCTGGGCATGTTCCCTGACCAGGAATCAAACTGGCAACCTTTTGATGTACAGACAATACCCCACCAAATGAGCCACACCAACCAGGTTGACATGTAGTATATTTTCATGAAAAAAATTTCTAAAACAAAAAAAATAGACATTGAACATCTCTTTAATGCCTGACTTAATAGAAGATACCTAGAATGTCATATCTACTCTGCTCTTTTGTGATCGCAAATCTGTACAGTCTGTGAAACCACTGTAAGTATTGTGTTACCTGGATGGGCAGAAGAATCCTTTCATAGTGTATATGTATATCAAATCATCCTTGTGCTCACTTTAAACAAATTACAGTTTTATTTGTCAATTATACCTCAAGCTGAAAAGAAATAGAGTGAAACAAAACAAATTTTATACCTGCTATTTTTTGGCATTTTAAAAATCACTACATTACTTAAAGTTGTTCTCCCCCCTCCCCCACCTTAATCTTTTTTGAGGGTGGAAGTGAGGTGGTGAAAGCTAAAGTTGCTGGTATGTAATTATAATGCTGTACACTGGAACACATACTAACCTAAGATTTAGTAGGCAAAATCAGTGCAGTGCCATGAGCTCATGCTCTTCAAGGTTTTGGTCTTTGAACTTGTAACTGTTCTGAAGTTGTGCCAGAATGCAAATTAACTATCATTAAATAAACTGTTTAGTTAATTTTTTTTTTCCTTAGAGCAAGGTTTTTGGTGCCAGGGAAGCAGTATTCTGATGCAAACTCCTTATCTCCTCCATGATAGACAGCATTTACAAACCATCTGTGTGAAGAGCATTGGTCTAAACCACTTTCATCTACTCTGGTGTCCTCTGTTCACCTGCCTCAAATCTCATTCTGTTTTTTCAGACCAAATCAGTAATCCGATATAACTGCTTGCCAAGCAAACCAAACCAAAATTTTCCAGATAGATCATAGAAGGGCTCAGTTTGTGTAATAGTTTAGGTATAGGGAACAGTGGGTGGTACAGAAGAAAGTTGAATTTTGCTGTCTGTGATTCCTACAGCTTGGTGTAGCCTGATTGTGGAAGCTAGGGGGTTTGAACATTAATTGTTCAGTGATTTTTTTTTTTAGTGGCTTGGAGGCACAGGGGCTGATTTCCAAATAGCTTTATTATTTTGAGACATAAACTTGAGAGTATAAATATATAGCAGAATATGCACTATTTCTTCAACTTCCCTGAAAATTGTGGCATTTCCGGAATTGGTGTTGATTTAGTGGAAATAATGGAATCTGCAAACCTCAGTTTTGATCCTTTTTGTACCAGTAATTAGTTTGGGACCTGTGAACAACTTATAACAATGGGATAGGAACAGAGTGGAGGGGTCAATTAGAGGGACATCTGTAATACTCGCAACAATAAAGATAAAAAATAAATTAAAGCTGAGTTGGCAGGGCATAAAAGTTCCTTTCCTCAAGCTTTACAGTTGTGTCACTCTGTACTAGGTTGAACCCAGAAGAAGGATAGGCTACCAGAGTATAACATTATTTCATTTTAATCTCAAAGCTTTTTGAAAAAAATAATTAAGAAATTCATCTGAAGTACTTAGAATTCTACCAGATTTCCTTCAGCCAGTGCAGGCACTTAAACTTTCACTTTTTGAAATCAGTTCCATGAAAACTGAGCCTTTCAGATTTTTCTAATTTCATTCTAATTTTACAATCCCTTTAAAATACCTGCAAGAGACTGTGTCTAAGAACTATCAAAAGATGGGCCAGTTTTAGTTACAGGAAAATGACACTGCTGATTATATTATGTAACACAGTTTAGTAAATATCTGACCCATCTCCTGTATTTTGAAGGTGAAACAAATTCATAGCCCTTAATTAGTTTCGTGTTGTTTACATTTTTAAACCATGTGTTTTGTTTTGTTTTTATTCACTAAGTAACAGTAAATACAAGCAGATTGTTCTTTGTTACACTAGATGTGATAACTGTTGTGCCTTACAAGTTTAGAACTGATGTGCTCTCATGCCATTGAATCAGTTAGTAGAGGGGAATTCTCTAACCGCCACCACACACACACACACACACAACTCTCCCCCACCCTCCATGACTGGATTTCAGCAATTAAAATTATAATGGGGAACTTTTGTAATGCTTTTTAAAAGTCTAGATGTTGTGATATTAACATTTTCCTGTGCCTAATAAACTAGTATTTATTAATCTATTTAATTTAATATTTATTAATCTGCTTAATTTGATGCTGTATAGGGTTTTCCATTGTTGCCTTTTAAGGTTTTTATAGGCTACGGTCTCTAAGATATATATTTAGATAATTATATCCTAGATCAGGACATCTTTATCTTATTAGTTTTTTCCCATATGTATACCTTGAAAACCATTGACATTCTTGATATCTCCTATCAAGTGATTAAATAGTATTAACATTTTCTAATTTTTTAAAATATTTTTAAGCCTTATGATTCTGCAGATGACTGGTCTGAGCATATTAGCTCTTCTGGGAAAAAATACTACTACAATTGTCGAACAGAAGTTTCACAATGGGAAAAACCAAAAGAATGGCTTGAAAGGTATTTGCTCTTAATCTAATTGAACAGTATTTCTCATTCTTGATTCTATAGGTTAACATCTTAGAACATTAAACATAAGCTAAGGTTTCTTATAGTGATATTTACTCTCCTTTTTAATTGCAGTGATTGGCCCATCAGCTGTGTTTTCCATAATTTCTTTTTCCCTTAGAAAAACTAGAACAGATTAAGCCACTGTCCACAAGGGCCTTGTGAACAGTTGGTGTACTTTAAACATTTATATTAATCCACATTTATGCATCTTCCTTAGAAATCTTTGTAATTCTCGTAAGACAAAATGTTTCCTTTAGAGAGAGTTAATATTACAAAGTTTTGGTTGTAGGGTTAATGGCATATAAATAATTAGTGTAATATTGCCACCATGCCAAACATTAATGTTATTTGCTGCATCCTATCTGCCAGTTAAATAATACGGCCACATTCAGTTCTTTTATTTTGTATATACCATTTTGTTGAACATTTGGTCAGAAATGTTATATGTAGACTCATTGTACCTGATATAATTATTATGCATTTATTTTTTATTTTTAGAGAACAGAGACAGAAAGAAGCAAACAAGATGGCAGTTAATAGCTTCCCAAAAGATAGGGATTACAGAAGAGAGGTGATGCAAGCAACCGCCACTAGTGCATTTGCCAGTGGAAGTAAGTATATTTTTTTCTTTGAAATAGTAATGATGTTTGATTCATTCCTGTAGTTAATTTGTGCTACAGATACAGATGTATAACCACTTATATATGTAAACTAAAATAAATAGAAACATATAGGATTTTCTTTATGTTGAATCTGTTTTTCTAACCTCCACCATTTTGTTTCCTGAATAGGCAAAGTATGCACAGTGGAATAATACACACATACATTCAGTACTATCCTTAATGGCTGTAATGCAGTTAAGTTGGTAGAAAAATAAAATAAAATTTTATGTTTTATATTGACTTCTTTTTAAAATAGAAGCTTCCTTGTCCCTGCTCACTCACTTCTCCCTGGGTTTCAATCCAATAATTGAATCAGAGCCACACACACAGATAATTGACATCAAACTGCCTATTGGTGTTTTATGTTATCAGTGAAAAACTTGTTTATCCTTGTATTTGGAAATTGATTTCAGCATGTTCATATATATGTGTAACATTTCTGTGTGTAACCTTAATGTTCTTTGGAGGTCAGATTTTGTCGATAAGTGGGACAATATAGGTAACATAACATTTGTTTTTAACTCAAATTAAATTTGAATTTGAGTTTGAAGCTTTTACCAGAGGTATCATGTTCCCAGTGGATTCCCTTATCTAGAAAAAAATTTAAATGTCACAGTGAGTTTATGGGCCCTTTGTCAAATTTTGAAATTATATTTTGAAATTTTGAGAAGAGTTTTCAGGTTCTAGGAATTCTTAGACTTTAAGCATTTGCATTTTTTTTTGTATAATTCACAAAAGTAGGGGATCTATTTAGTCTCAGCAGAAGAAATTAATATTTTGTTAGGAAAAATCATTTTGAATAAAACAGCACAGTTTTGTGGGACTGAATGCTTAGAACATTTAATTTTTTTTTATTAGTGAAATAGTACTTAATTCTTAAAAATATTGAAGAACTAAAGTTAGGAAATTAAGAATATTGTATTTTGAGATGAAAGACTTGGGTTCTAGTCCCATTTTATTTAATATCTTAAATAATTGTGTCTTTTGGCAAACAATTAAAAATGAAATAAAAACTTTTCTTCCAGGTTTTGTTTTGTTTTTAATAATATAATAGCACCCAGCTTGTGGGCCTCTTAAACAAATTGTTGTGGGGAGGTAAGTTTTGGAAGAGTGGCACATGGGTGTAAAAAGAAGTAACTTTTTTTTTTTTTTAGTTATGGGCTAGGCTTCTCCACTTACTGGCTGATGGTTTCCAGAGAGGAAAAAGATCGGAGCATAGTGTGTCATCTACTTTAGTCTTTTCAAAATAACCTGTCATTTAAGTCATTCCTCTCCATTGGGGTAAAGTAAAGGGGAGTAATTTGAGATCTGATAGAAATAATTGATGAAAGTGAAAATACATTTTTCTCTTTTTAATAAACCAATTTAAAAAAAAATCAAATCATTTGTGTCAATCCCATGACCCAGAGACATTGGGGGGCATAGACTTAAATTTTCTATTTGTATAAAATGTGTACATATATCTTTTCCACCAGAAATGGAATTATGTTACTGTTTTTAATCCTTATTTTCAATAATATTTCAGGGATATGTTTTCATATCCGTTTATACTTCTGTGTTTGGTATATTGGCTGCATGGCATTCTATTTTTGGATGTGCCCTCATTTATAAGTCGTCTGTGTATGGATATTTAGGTTTAGCCTTTTCCTGTTGTAAACAATACTGTGATCCCTATCTTTGCTCACTTATATGATTACTTCCTTAGCTAATATTCTAAAGTACAAATGATGAGTCAATGGGTCTGTGTTTGTGTTGAAGTGTAGTCATGTATCACACTTTTTGAGTATTAAATAATGTTTGAGAAAGGGCCTTGGCTATATTGTTGCTTGTTTTTCAATTGGTCAACTTAGCTGTACTAGGTGTGGTATAGTAATAAAGCCACTAAGCTATTTAAGTGTTTAACTTTATCCAAAAAATGTTGACAGTTTTCACATATGACCAGTACACGGTTTCATGTAGGGTAAGGCTTAAAGCTCTGTAATTCCAACTGCCAGTGAAAGAAGTGTGTGTATATGTGTTGTGTAAAGAAATAGATTTTAGAGTGGTTTTGGGATTTTGTTTTTTGCGTTGTAGCAAATAATATTATCCAAACTTGACATTGAAAATTACATGGATAAAAATTTAAATTTGATATTGCTGCTATTAAATTATTTTTGTCATCTTTAATATGTACATCAGAGTGATTGCTCGATGATTAGAGAAGCCTTAACTTGGGGTTTCTCAACAGTAACACCAATGATATTTTGAGTCAGGTAATTCTTTGTTGTGAGATGCTGCCCTGTGTGTGTTGTAGGAGGTAGAGCACCATATCTGGCCTCCATGTACGAGATGCCAGTAGCACACCTCCCTTCTCCCCTGTTGTGACAGCCAAAAATGTCTCTCAACATTTGCTAAATGTCCTTGTTGTGGGAGATATGCAAATAGTTACTGCTTTAACTGTTCTGTAGAGTTGTGAGTAATAGAAAACTGTTGCATGTGTATCTTTCTCAGTTGTGTAGTGCTGCTATTTTTTTTTTTAAGCTTACAAATGTTAGAGAAAATACCTTTTAATTTTCATCTAAATACATTTACATTTTGACTGATGTAATCATACAGAACTAAAAGGGATTTTTCTTGGTCTGTGAAATAAAAGTTCTAGGTAATCGAGTGACAGGATTGGTGGGAATTGGGCATGGTATTATTTCTGTTATGTCTGTCCCTAAAAGTTTCTATTGTAGTAATGAGTCTTTTCAGAAAGACATGCTATAATAAAACTTTTAAAGTTTTATGTGCATGCAAGTTGATACATTGAAGTTTTTGGCAGTACCTTTTGTTTTGGTTTAACATGTAGGAGTTGTGAATTGATGAGTTGAAAACTGACTTGTAGCTGGGGCATACTTCTTTGTGTTGTCTTGGTCTCTAGACTTGGAGGAACTGTGAATATGAAAAAACAACACAGTATTCAACAAGGAAGGCATCCTTTGGTAATATTACCATTACATAGAATGTTTTTGTACTTGGAAACATACTGTTTTGATTGTTTAGTTACTGATTAGACTGTTGTAATGTAAGTTAGAGGTTTTTTGATAAATACAAAGTTTGTTACCATGATTGTTAAATTTTTTTCCTCTTTTATACTCTTTGGAGGCAAAAGTACTTGTGAATTTAAAGTATTTTTTGTGGCTTTAAATTGGAAGAGGGTCTGGTTTTATAGTAACTAGTAATAGCAAATAGATTTTTTTACAGTGCTGTGGATGTAGGACTTCTAGTTTCAGATAGCATTATTTATAACTTAATTTTATGACTACTGCTGGTATTTATTTGCATTATTAAAATATGAATTGATGTACTTACTGATTGCATAGTTTATTATTCATTCATTCATCCCAAAATGAGGTCATTTGAGCCCTATCACAAACTACTTTAGAGCCCACTAATTAGCTGTTTTAGTATTCAGAGAGATTAAGCTAATATGCCTTTGCAGTTTAATCATTGTGGATAATTCAGTTAATTATTAGAACCAAAGGTCTGTATTTTAGCCCTGGCCAATTTGGCTCAGCAGTTAGAGTGTTGGCCCACAGACTGAAGGGTCATGGGCACATACCTGGGTTTCGGGTTCTATCCCCGGCCCTAGTTGGGGTTGTGTGGGAGGCAACCAATCAATATGTCTCTCACATCAATGGTTCTGTCTCTCTCTCTCGCTCTCTCTCTCTCTGTATCCCCCCCCCCCTTTCTTCTTCTCTTCTCCCTCCTTCCCTCCCTTCCTCCCTCTCTATCTAAAAATCAATGGAAAACTATCCTCGGGTGAGGATTAACAACAAAATTAAGGTCTATATTTTAAAAGAATAGACCATTTACTTTTTTAATTATTAAAAATTATTTTATTTGAGTATTTTTGTTTTGTCTGAACAACAGTGTGGCTCTAAAGAATTCCCAGAAAGTAGTAGCCCACTTGAAATCTGAGTATAGGTTAGTATTTATAGTTGAGCTAAAATTCTTCCAGTATTTAGATATTTATATGCTAGGAGTAAAACTGCAGACACTAACTGGGCTTGCAGTTTTATGTAAAAGTACACATATGTTGCTAAATTAGCTGATGTTCAAGACAGGATTCTAACATAATCTTTTTTCTTCCCCCTTCCGTCATTCCAACATCTCTTTTTTCGAACTGTGAACTAAAGTGGAAGACAAGCATTCCAGTGATGCCAGTAGTTTGCTCCCACAGAATATTTTGTCTCAGACAAGCAGACACAATGACAGAGACTACAGACTGCCAAGAGCAGAGACTCACAGTAGTTCTACGCCAGTACAGCACCCCATCAAACCAGTGGTTCATCCAACTGCTACCCCAAGCACTGTTCCTTCTAGTCAATTTACGCTACAGTCTGATCACCAGCCAAAGAAATCATTTGATGCTAATGGAGCATCTACTTTATCAAAACTGCCTACACCCACATCTTCTGTCCCTGCACAGAAAACAGAAAGAAAAGGTATGCCATTATTACTAGATGTGCTGCACGTTGAACTGTAGTTTCTGAATTTCTGATTATATTACATTATTTCCGTTAGCTTAAATAAGACTTAATTATAAATTCTTTTTTTAAAGTCTTTTAGAATGTTACTGCATAGATATAGGTCTAGAGTTAGCCATATTTAGTTTTTTTTCTTTTAATTTTTAATTATAACGCCTCATAGAACTGTTTTTTTTTTTTGCCTTTGACACTTTAAAGTCCAGTGCTTAATTTATAATTCTTAGTAATGGTTTAAATAACTTATCAAAGCCAAATGACTGTCCCTTCATATTTGTGTAATTTTTTTGTTTTTTTTCGTGATAATTTTCTTGATGGTTTAGTTTAGAAATTGTCTCAGTTTTTTATTAATTAAAATTTAATATGAATAGAGACATTTTAAAATTTTTTCACTTTTATATAATATTCAGCTATTGGTTTCAGTTTGTGAATTAGAAAACTGAGTCCTAGGCCACAAGATAAGGAGTCCTAATGTCTGAAGAATAGAAGTTAAACTTTGTAACCCAAACTGTGTTTATGCAACTCAGTTCTAGTAACCATACCACGTTCAAACAAGTTATGACAACTACTTCTTGGGAGGTAACACATAAACAGAAGCAGAGCGTATTTGCCTGGACCACTCACAATCCTAAACTTATGTTTTATAGCATGTTGTAAGAAACAGAGGAAATGAAAAGGCCATAAACAAATGTGGGTAAACCCACTAGCAGGTTAATTAGCTTCATTAGCGTTAGTAAATGTCAAGGAACTTTTAAATATCTTAGGGGTTTAGGAGATGTTGCATGGACATAAGGAGGTTCGGCCACACACTTCAGGCCACATCTGAGCTCGTCTCTCTGATCCCCACCCCATTCCTAATCTTTTTTCCCCTTCTAGAGCCCAACTTGAAGGCCAAGGGTAGGTGTGCAAGTCATATTTACTTTAATGCAGAATTAAATTTACAGAGAGAATTTTGAGAGATGAAAACGGAATGCACTTCCTAAAGGATCTTAATGTTTTATTTTTAGTTCTTAAAAAGTCTTTTCTCATTTTACCTCTTGTTTAACACTTTTTAGCTCTTACCTCCTTTTTCCCCCCAGCCATTTTATTTCAAACTTTGTACATCATACTTTATTGAGTATAAAGAATCAAAAAATATGCCCAAATAACAGAATAAATACAATTTATTCACATGTTAGCCCAGTTAATATTGGCTAGGAATAAGATTATAATCCTTAAATAAACACAAGTTTGAGTTTACCATCACCTTGAAATTGTTGCTACCAAATTCTAGTACCTCTGGCTTATTTCCTCAAAATTACTTTGATTCTTCTTATGAGATGATTCTTGTGTAAAATTATGGCAGATAGATCAAAAATAGCCAAATAGATGTCAAGCTTATAGTTTTCTGCTGACTGTTGTTGAGAGGAATAGTATATTTCGAAGTGTAAGATCAGAGCCACAGTTAGGAAAACTTGGATACAACTTCTGATTTCTGTGGTTAAGTAATATGGTTACTTTTGAGAGTAAATTTCATCTGAATTTTTTCCTGGTTTTGTGATAGTATTTTTAAAAAAAACTTTATTGTTGAAAGTATTACAAGTGTCCCCCTCTTTTCCCCCAATTGACACCCTCCTCTCTGCCCCCCCCCCCTCCTTTTTGAAATTTCTTTCTTCCGTGTTTTCTGGGATACTGCTACTGTTAAATTTCCTACTTCTTTTATTTTCTTGCCTCCTAAATATCAATAGCGTTCAGTCTTTTACTGTGTTTTTTTAGGGGATGGAGGGTTGTTTAGTTTTTTTGTTGCGCAACAAGTTCTTTTTTGTTGGGTAGTCATTCTTGTGACTACCTTGTCTATATAAGAAGTGACTCCCAGATCTTTATTTCTAGCTCACATATATGCTTTCCTTCTATAAACACTTGTCATTTGTTACATCTCTTCAGGATACAGTATGTCTTAGGTTCTCAGTAAGTGACAGCACTATTCCCTCCAAGTAACCATTCCCTTGTTCTTCCACATTCTTGCCCACCTCCATCTACCCACCCATCGAAAATCTTGGATTTTTCCTCCTGTGTCTTATTTGCTTATCATTCTCTCTCTTATTTATGCAGCTGCCATTATTGAAACTCAGGTCATCTCTCCTGAACTAATCTGATTACTGCTCTGCTTCCCTTTCCCCAGTTTTTTCACTTACTGTGTGGCATCATTATAAAATGTAGTTTGGATTATATCACTTCATTGTTTTAAATTTTCTAATGTTTTTTTATTATCCAAAGAATAAAGTTCATACTTCATAGTAAGGTACAAGCAAGTACTTGGTACTTGGTATTTCATACTTCAAGTACAAGCAAGTATTTGACAGTCTGGTTGCAGTCTGTCTTAGTAGCTTGACCTCCAACATTCCACTCTTATGTTTCCTATAATTTATCTGTTGCAGATTTTTACATTTTTTAGGGCATGTTATGTTCTGTCATATTTTGAGCCTTTGCTGAAAAGAAAGACATATTTCATTTATTCCCATTCTATTGAACTTGGTACCCTTTGATTAAGAGCCAGCTCTAGTATCCTTTGGTTCTCCGCATTAGTTAACCTCTCTCAATCATTGTTTCCCAAACACTTTGTACTTTTGTTTATTATAGCATTTATCACATTATAGTTTTAGTTTCTCTAATTAGACTTCAGTGTTTAGGGTTAGAAGTTATATTTTATTGCATTTGTACTTTGTTCACCTTCTGTCCTCTCTGTCCATGCTTCAAGCATCATTTCTGACAAACTTAACAATTAAAAATTAACAGTGTACCACATTTGATACTAGGTATTTTATATACGTTTTAATTTATTCCTTAAAACAACATCACGAGGGAGAAGATCTCTCTTAGATAGGAAGAGGTAATGAACATTGTCACAATCCAGGTGTTAGTGGCGGCTTCTCCAAAATCCATCTTCTTTTCATAAAACTGTATTGAAAGACCCAACAAATTTAATAATTTTATTGAACTTACAGGAAGAAACTCAATTACCTTGGAATTGCCTATTTATATAGGGAAATTTTTACGCTCTTTCCAAGTAAGTCTCCTTGCATGTGAACTGAAGACAATATTGTTTCCTTAAGTTAAATGAGAATTTGGATTTTCTTTTTAAGATTGCTTTTCACTTTGTCTAAATTTGTGAAGCACCCGTTAATTTGAAATATATTTTTTTCCTCAGTGTAGACATTGTTATTTAAATTAAACTTCCTATTAACTCTTATTATCAATAAATGATTTCCTGGTCTGGATTTACCTTAATGATTTATATGAAGAGGTTGATGGTTCAAATAAAAGTGGCCTCTTGGTCTTAAGTGCCAATAGGGTAGCTAGCTAAGCTGTATCTAAGGATGTCAACAGTAGGATGCTGTATGAAATAATACAGGAGCAGTATCTTTCTTAACCACTGATCTATTCATAGCGCTTAACAAATAATAGACATGCTCAGTAAATATTTGTTGTAGATGGATAAATAGCTGAAAGAATGGTAATGAGTGTGTTGGGGGTTGGGAGAAACACCTGCATTGGTCATGATTTAAAAAATGTATTTGGAGCAAAAGAAGATCGTACATGTGTTGTGTATCTAAAGGATACCAGCAATAGATTTAGACATGTGTAAAGCAGTGTGTCTTTTGAGAAAAAAACTAAAGATAAATCAAAATCTATCCTTGCTTGAAGGGAAACAAGTGTGAAGAAGTTGTGAAACTAGGATTTTGCAGAGAACAATTCTTGGGTGGGGTGAAACGAGGGAAGTCAGATACCTACCTCCTTTTAGACTTATATAGAGTAACATTTGAACATCTATTGGCAAAATTAATTTATTGGACAAATGTAATAAAATAACAAACTCTGATGTGCTAAAAGTTTTTTTCAGTTGGCAACCCCTTGTTTGTTCTATAAACTGGCTCTAGCTCCACCCTCCCTTCCATATTTCTGAAGGGACAAAATAGGCAGGAGACATGGTTCCTTTGTCTTTGCTTTGGACCAAAAAAGTGCCCAAGTTATAAGAGTTTAATGACCTTAATTAACAAGTTTTGTATTATTTATTAGCACAGATAAGTTTGAAAAGTAGACATAGTGGCCACAGCAGTCCTAGGCAGTAACTTCAAGCTAGCTCTTAGAAGATTAGCATGTCTAATATACACATAGTTACTTGCTGGTACCATAGTTTTCATCTTACGGGAGGGATGATTATTCATTCATTAATACAAGGTGTGAGTTATTCACTGGAATAAACTTTCCTTTTGTATTTTGATGGTATTTGTAGACTGGGTAAAATTCTAATGAGCCTACGATTTATCAATATGTCAGCAATAGCCCTTTATAGCTGACATAGGTCATTGATTGCCTATAGCCGGTGACATTTAGCCTTTTGTTTCTTCAATTTAAAATAATTTTTTTGATTATTAAGTACTCCTGAAAAGTTAGAAAGATTGCCCATAAAGTTATTCAAATATTGTTAAATAACTGTGAATGCATAAGTGGAGGAATTTAGTTTTTTATAGTCAATAACTTTAGAATTGTGTTTTATAACTTGAAGGTTATGGGGGAAGGCTTTTAAATCAAGTCTAAAAAGGCATTGCTTTAAAAGAAAAAGTTGAGATTTGACCACATAAGACATTTAAAACTTCTCTATGACAGATAAAATAAACAAAGGTTGAAAGATGAATGTCAAATTGGGGTAATATATTTGCAATATATGTAATAGTACATTGAGGATACATTAAAAATTAAAGCAATATGAAAAAGATAATCCAGTAGAAAAATGAGCAAAGGATTTGAACAGGCAGTTACAAAAGAAGAATTTTAAATCTCCAACCTTGCCCTTCTGGTGTTGCTCAGTGGTTAAAGCATTGGCCCAAGCACCAAAGGGTCTCGAGTTTGATTCCTGGTGGAGGACAAGTACCTGGGTTGCAGGTTAATTTCTGGCCCCAGTTGGGTCAGGCACATGTGGG